GCCTAGCAAGCGTTAGGTCCTGAGTTCAAACCCCATTACTTCAAAAAAAATGTTGACCTAGAAAAGGTAAAATTATTTGCATATAAATTTCATTATATATGTATCAGGGAGCTTTGCCCTTGGGACTCCTTCAAAGGGAGGTTCACAGCATGCATTTGCAGCTCTTTGCTCCTCAGGAAGAGATGCTGAGCTAAGTGGTTGCTGTAAGGCAGCAAGGCGAGCCCTAGGAGACATCACTTGTGAAGGAACGTGATTGTGGTTCTGCAGACAGCTCCTTGCTGCTGCCCGAGGGAAATTATGGCTGAAGAAAGTGGCTTGTAAATAAGTCACCTGCCCATATGACATCATTGCTTGTCTGGTTCCAGGCTGGGATTTATTGACTTTGCAGCCCTGGAGTTAATATTTGCTGATGCTTTCATGCTGTCACAGTCTTGTGAGGAGACAGGTGCCAGTTGAGGGAAAAGAGTAGACGGGGAGAAGGGAGAGATAGGAGGATTATCAGTGATTAAAGCAAAGAGGATGATGGGAGGGCAGTGGAAAGAGCTCACTGGCTAAAACAAAAGGTTTGAGAACTCAGCAAGTCAAGTGATTCTCTCTCTCTCTCTTTCTCTCTCTGTTGACTTTTGGCAGTACTGGGGCTTGAACTCAAGGCTTCATGCCTGCTAGGCAGGCGCTTTACCATTTGAGCCACTCCACCAGCAACTTTTGGAGTGGCCAAAAGTAGCCACCTTTTTAGCAGGTTAAGAAAAGGTAGAGAAAAGGCTGAGTGATGTCCAGAAATAAATAGAAGGTGTGGGAAAGAAAAGGAGAGAAGGACTGAGGGCTTTAATCCCCTCTATACTGGGTGGAAGTCCTGGGTTGGAGAATTACATTCTATCCCCAGGACTCCTCCCTGGGACCTTCCCATTTCAGTGACTTGACTGGGAAAGAATTGCTCTCCAGGAATGTTCACATGTCTGTGGGTTACAAAGTCCATTGACAACTATGGCTACTGCCCTACTTTGTACCTTTTCTGAGACAGGGCTCTGGCATTGTCACAAGCCTTCCAGCAGTGTTTGGGTGCAGTTAATTCTTGACTCCAGTGTCACCCATCACTTGTAAAATAAAGTGAGGACACACCTGTTAAAAATGTTCTCTTTGAGTCCTGCCTCTGCCCATTAACCTTCAGTGGCTCCCTGTTGTCCACTGAGTGAAAAGTTAACTCCTGACATAGTACCCTCTGCAATCAAGACCTAGTTGATCTTTCTAGACTGCTTCCTCACCACCTTCTTTCAAACTCCCTGGGCCTCAAAGGAATCATATTTATTTATTTATTTATACTTCTTTTATCATATGTGCATACAATGTTTGGATCATTTCTTCCCCCTTCCCCCCACCCCTCCCTTTCCCCCACCCTTCCCTCTCCCCCCCTACCCCCTTGCTACCAGGCAGAAACTATTTTGTAAAAGAATCACATTTAGAAGCCTGATGATACATGGTGGGGTTGTTTACTCCAGTGATCATGTGGCTGACTGGTAGCTGTGGTTTTGCTGCCACTGCCCAACATTGTCAGAAAGTATGGTGCTGGAGAAAAGATCAGAATGTAAAACTCAAAGAGCAGTTTCTATTTAATGTATATGGCGTTTGTACCACCATAATGTTGAAAAATCCTGAGTTAAACAATGTCAGTTGGGAACATCCATACCTGTTAGTTCTGTGTGTTCCCACCCTTGCATCTGTATGCCTCTACTCACTGTGTTTGCTACTTGGAAATCCTATCCACAAATCTTCACATATCGAACTTTTCCCACTCCATAAGCACCACTCCAGGCCTCCACAGCACTTTGTAAGTCTTTTATTTGTGCATAGATAAACCCTGGCTAGATTATGAACTCCTAGAGGTAGGAGTTGATAGAGACAGTCAGTATTAGTCAGCTTAGGCTGCTTTAACAAGATACTATAGATGAGGTGGCTTGAATAACAGAAATCTATTTTCTAACAGTTCCAGACAGTGGAAATCCAGAATTGAATTTCTACCATGGTTTAGTTTTTGGTAATCTTTCTTTTCCTGCCTGGCAGATGGCCACCTTCTCACTGTGTCCTCACATGGCCTGTCACTTGGTGCATGAGCACAGAGAGAGAAGGGAGGAGAGGAGAAAGGTTGGGAAGGGTGAGAAGAGGAGGAGAGGGGAGGAATGGAAAGGAGAGGGGAGAAATGGGGAGGAGAGGGAGAGGCTGAGAGAGAGAGAGAGAGAGAGAGAGAGAGAGGGGTGTTTTCCTCTTATAAAGAAACCAGTCATTTCAGATGAGGATCTTACCCTTATGACTTCGTTTAGCCTTAATTTCCTCCTAAAACCGCTGTGTCTGAATACAGTCATAATAATGGGAATTAAGGCGGGGACAGAGTTCAGTCCATGGCATTCCACACTTGGCCACTCAAAGTCATGTTCTTATATGCAGAACACTTCCATTACACCCCAACAGCCTCAAAAGACTTAATTTATTTCAGTGTCAACTTAAAAGTGTTAAGTGCAAAGTCTTATCTAAATATCATCGAAATCAGATATGGGTGAGACTTGAAATACAGTTCATCCTAAGGCAAAATTCCTCTCCAGTCGTGGCCCTGTGAAACCAGACAAGTTATGTGTTTCCAGAGTACAACAGGACAGACATTCCCATTCTAGAAGGGAGAAGTAGGAAAGAAGGAAAAGGTAACCCTAGCACGGTAAAGCCACTAGATTTTGAGGCTTGGGAAAAGTCCTCTTGGGTTCCATGCTCTGCCCTCCAGGCAAGTAGGAGTCCACAGGGGGAGTTAGGGCAGAGACACAATTCAGTCCCTGACAGTTCATATTTGGCCCCTCAAAGTCATGTTCTCATGACTGTAGGCAGGAATTCTGTCCTAAGTCTTCTGGCATAGGCTGCCTGACCTGTTGCACCCAGGTGGTGGCCCTAATAATCTCTAAATTGTCTGCAAAGTAATTTTTTTCCTCTTCTTGAGGAGCATGCGTGTTCACAGCTGAGTGCTTTTATCATCCCATCCTGTACTGTCAAGTCAGGAAGTTTCACAGTCTTCCTTCATTTCTCCTGTCTCCATCTCTTCCATTCAGACTGGTGGTGTCTGCTCCTGTAATCCCATAAGCATTTTATCCTGATGATAATCCAGACACACCCTTGGTTTGTCCTTTGCAACATGCTTCTTCATGTTCTGCTGCAAGGGATGTGATGAGGCAGGATAGATAGAAACTGGACAAGGGAAACAGGAGGCAGGAATTCAGAAACAAGTACTGTATTAATAACTCATTTGATTTAAAGCACATAGGCACCATTTTCTTTTCTTTGAGCTGCACACACCCTCACTAAACTTTAGCAAACAGTAGAAAAGTAAGGACCGCATCTCTGGCTTTGCCCCAAATGATTAACGTGCTCCAAAAAAATAAGCATGCTTATATTCAAGAAAGATGTACATGTTGAAAAACTGTCTGGTACCATCCCCTCCTTTGGTCTGGGGAATGCCCATTAAAAGTCACAGAAAGCAGACGTGTTGCAGGGACCCTGATTTAGAAAAGCTGACCAAGACATTTCTCTGGGCCCAACTGATAATATCAAAATACTGTGAGAGCAAGAATGATTAGAATGCATCAGGCACTCAAAACATAGGACAGCACTCTACTGAATGTTTAATAGAACCTGCCCTACTTTCTCAGTGTAAATATCCTGCTGTTAATCTAGCCCAGTGCATCTCTTCTGTGTGCTTGTATTTTGCTTACGAAGTGTGCCTTTGCTCTCTGTATTGCTGTTGAATAAAACTCTGCCTTATATCTTGGTCTGAAATTCCTTTCTGAGCCAGAGGCAAGAATCAGTGGGGCCCAAGAGTTGAGGTCTCCCCTGTTCTGAGGACCTCCCCAGACCGCCCCCTGGACTGACCCTTAGTGACAGATAGATTGAGAACTTTCCAAGTCTTTAACTTCTGGTTTCTTTTTGCTTAAAAATCCCATTTTCAGTTAATCTCTGTCCCCTTGCATTTAACTCTAAGCAGTTGGGAGGAACTTAGCTACTCCCAAAACTTAATTCAGCAATCCCCTCAGTTGAATATTTAATTTCATCGCTCATCAGTTCTGTCTTCCACAAACCCAAGAACACAGCTCAGCTGAGTGTTTTGTCACTTTATAACAAGGGTCACCTTTTGTTCAGTTTTCAACATGTTCTTTATTTCCAGCTGAGACCTTATGAGAATGATCTTGACTGCCCATCTTCCCACTGGCATGCAATCTAGGCCTTTTCTAGCATTTACCTCAAAACTCCTACAGCCTCTGCTCATTACCCAGTCCCCAATCACCTCCCCCATTTTCAGTTATTTGTGACATCAGCCCCCCACTTCTCAGCATCAAGGTCTGTCTTAGTAATTTGCCATAACAAAAAAACCCAGAGGCTAAACAGATTAATCAACATAAACTTACTTTCTTTTTTTTTTTTTTTGATATATAACATTTATTTTTTCCAGGAAACAGTGGGAAATAATTTTAATCAGAGATTTATACATTTTCTTCCCACACATTCTGCTTTGTACTGGTAAATAACATTGTGATCCATTTCACTACAAGTAAAATATTACAAAATATTTACAAGAAAATATTAAAAATAACTCAAATACAAGTCAAGAAGAAATAAACTGGTTTTTTCAGAACTCTCACTCTGGAGCTTATAGCACACAAGAAGAGAGCCAAAACAAATAAGCAAATAAGATATCCTCGATCACAAATTTCCAAAGGCTTGGAGAAGGGGAAGGAAGGGGATGAAAATGGCGTTGTGAGAGGGAGAGGATGTTAGCAGCACTGCTTTAATAGCCAATCTCTTCTGAATGACACTCCCTCTGTGCAGTAAAGTCCCATCAATGCTAATCTTTAGGATTCCTTGAAATCAAATTAGAAAATACCCTGACAGTGAAAGAAGCTCTTTCAATGTAATTAGAGCCTCTTATTCCATGAACCACTGTTGGGAAGCCTGTCTGGCATCAAAAGCTGTCACAGCAGCCCTTCCATCTCTTTCATGAAAGCTTCATAAAATCATCCTTAGTTTGTACTGAGACAGACACAGAAGGATCAGATTTGGGGGGTGCTTTGGCAAGAGGCACAGCAGAATCATCCTCTGACTTTCTTTGGGGAGCAGCGATCAACCTTTATTCTCCTGATGTACCCTCAGTGTGGTGGGCACAAATCGAGTAATTTCTGCCTTGGGATTAGTGGTCTGTGGCTTAGCACTGATGTCTGCTGTGGCTTTCTTCTCAATGGTGGCTGCACTTGCATCGTCCGCCTTGGATCGCTGAATCAGGTTGGGTGGGGCACTTAGTACCCCAGGGTTCAGCAAGGGAGCTGGTGGGAAAAGCCCATGTGGGGCAGGTCCAAGTGGAGGCCCCAAAGGTGGAAACATCATACCAGGATGAGGTGGGGGACACCTGGAGGTGCAGGAGGAGGTAGCCTTGGCAGGGGTCCTCAAGGAAGAGGGCCAGGAAGCAGACCTGGAGGTGGACCTGGGGGAGGACCAGGAAATGGGCCTGGTGGTGGTCCTGGGGGTAAAAGTCGTGGTAAAGGACCTTGGAGTCCTGACATTCCAGGTGGTCTCAGGAATGGAGGAGTCCCTAGAGGTGGCCCAGGAGGCTGTAAAGGTGGAGCAGGTGGTGGTCTAAGAGGTGGTGTTCCTGGCATGGGACGTGCTTGTATCTGAGAAGGCAGAACGGACTGTGGGAGAGCCTGCTGCTGTGAAGAAGCAGTAACTGTGCTGTCAGAATAAGAATCATCGATGTTGTTTCTGTGATGCTTTTCTGCTTCAGAATCGTGTTCTTCATCATCCTCTGAGGGTCCCTCTACTTCCTTCCCCTCCTCAGGGATTTCCTGACCTGCCATTTGAAGCTTCAGGTCTTGAAGAGGAGTCGGCTCCCTTATGTTCATTTTCTTCCTTGATTTTCCAGGCCTATCTGCAAATCGTACACTCAGACTTGACTTTTTCTCTTCAGTGTTGTCTCGCTCACTGTCACCAGGTGGAACACCATGTCCACCAAGAGGAAGGATAGAAACTGCTCGAGTTGGAGGCCCATAAGCTGAGGTCTTCTTAAGGATGGAGGGAGGCTGGGCACCAGGAAGTGGAATGTCCTGGATCAAGATGTTGGAAGGAGCAGGTGGCACATCTGGCCAAGGAATCCTCTCTGCTTCCACATGCTGGGCGTTCTTGACAGCATCAAAATATTGGCTAAGTTAGGCCCCCTTCTGTTCATATTCTAATTCTAGCTTTCTCAGTTCTTTGTAAATATCTCGATTCTCTGAATATGTTCAAAGGTCTCACGTAGCTTTTTATGCTCGTCTTTCAGTACTTTCTCATTTAGCTGTGGCTGTTGTACTGAGTTAAACTCCATTTCATCCAATTTCTCCATGTCCCAGATAATTTGTTTTGGATCTTTCATCTTCAAAATTGCAGCTTGAACCATCATGCACTCTTTTTTGGTCTTCGTTACTTCTCTTTTTCTGGCTTCCTATCGGGCTTGGTCTGTAGAGTTCATAAGTTTCCACTCTCGGTGGACGATGTTGATCTCCGTCTCATGTTGATAGTTTACATGGTTCACTTGAATAAGTGAAAGTTTATAATGAATATTAAAAAAAGAAAGACACTATTGCTGGGCTCCCAAGACTGTGAGAAGCAGGGAGGTGGTGATTCCCAGCCTCTTTTACTTCGTAGGGGCCTTCACCTCTGCCTCTCAGTCAATTACCCAGCCACTGCCATCTTGAGACCTCGTGCCCCTCTGCCATCCTTATGTCACTTCCTGTTCCTATGGCTGATGATCTCTTCGAGTTGTTCTCATAAATTCACTTTCTTACAGTTCGGGAGGCCAGAAGTCCAAGATCAAGGTGTAGGTAAGGGTGAAGTGAGGGTTCTCTTTCCTGACTTGCCAGTGGCTTCCTACTTGCTGTGACCTCACATGGTAGAGAAAGAGAATTCTGGCCTTTCTTCCTCTTCTTATAAGAACATCAATGCTATCAGCTTCAACCTTATGACTTCATTTAACTATAATTAATTTCTGAAGCCCTGTCTACAAATACGGTCACATTGGGGGTCAGTTTCAGTGTATGAGCTGGGATGGCAATCCAGAGCACGACCTATTATTTATTTGTTTGTTAGTTTGTTGGTTGGTTGGTTTCTAGAGATTGGGTCTTGCTATATATCCCAGAGTGGCCTCCAACTTGTGAACCTCCTGTCTCAGCATTCTGAGTACTGGTGTGTCCCACCATGCCTTGCTTTACTTAATATTTAAATCCCAATATCTTACAAAGAGTTGTACTCTATAAATACGTGGTGAGTTAAGAGAAATTGAATTCTGGATCCTCCCAAGAGTTGTTTTTACAAACTGTACTCTCCTAGCTCATAGGATTTTGGGGGTTTCACACCATTGGGAAAGAAAGACAGAGTGAACAGGTTTTTGTAAGAATGGGACTGAAGGAATTGTCTCAGCTACAGGTATTAAGGACTAGTCTCATGGAGTAAGAATGTTGTGAGGCTTTTCTTCATTTTCAAGGGAAATGAGGAAGTGGTGGTACTGGAATTTGAACTCAGGGCCTTGTGTTTGCTAGGCAGGTGCTCTGTCATGTGAATTAGGCCCTTTACCTTCCATCTAGTTTTTTGTTTGTTTTTATGGGACTGGGATTTTGAATTCAGGGCTTTGTGCTTGCAAAGCAGCCACGCATCCAGTCCATTTTTCTTTGGTTATTTGCTGAGATGGGGTTTTGCAAACACTATTTGTGCCATCTGGCCTTGAACCATGATCCTCCTGATGTCAGCCTCCCAAGTGGCTAGGATTACAGGCATAAGCCACTGGCACCCAGCTGCATCTAATTTTTAATGCAAAGAACAGCAACAATTCTTCTGAGCATTTGGATTTATCAAAATATATATCACAAGGATTGTGAATTACTCAACTGACCAAAATTGCCTCTCTATGCATTGACCAAGCTCCCTGTGCAGATCACAGTGCAGCAGCCATGCTGGTAAGCATTTTTGGCCTCAAACATAGATTAGCTTCGTGCTCCCACTCATGTTTTTCTTTCTTCTTGCCCTCTACTTTTAATTTTGCAATCTTGCCATATTTTGGTACATTTTATGTTTCCAGAATTCCAAAAATCTTTTTAGAAGCATGGTAAGGTTTAAATGCATTGAAAAATAAAGTTGATCACACATTTCCTGGGAAGAACTAACAGTTCAAATGTCAAAGTCTAAGAAGCATGATAAATTCACCTATGAGCCTGGCATGGGGTGGGGAAAAATCTGTATATTTCTCCTTATCTATTAGTTAATGAACTAAGCCTTAACAATAAAGTTTAGGAATAGCTATTAAAAATCTGTATTGCAAATGAGAAAACAATTTCATGGAGATTAAGTAACGTGTCAGCTTGGAGAGTTCAAATCCAAGTCCATCTGATGTTAAAACCAGCATCCTTTCTATCCTGTTTCCCTCCTTCCAAGACAGAGGCTAACTATCTAAAGTCCAGTCCTGAGCAGGATGCAAGAAAGAGAGGGAACAAGAAAGGCATAGGCCAGAAGTGAGACAGAGCAATGACCTTGGGGAGCTCTGTCCTGGGATGGGGAAATTCAAGGCTCCCAGCTATAATTGGAGTCCATTGACAAGGATCCAGTCTCTGGGGTGAGAAGTATCTGCATGAGCCACTTGCACTGCTCGGGGGGAATTGAGTCCTGGGTGGCCAGGCTAGAATGGTAGGCCAGGCTCCTGGTCAGAAGAGAGCTGGTGTGAGAACTGAGAACTGAGTTAGAAACCCTGTGTGGTGCTGGTATTGACTAAGAAAGAACAGTTGAGGCCTGGGAATCTCATAACGTCCCCAGAATGTTACTCAGCACCTTGAGCCTGTAAAATAGATCTGGGACTGGTTTGGGGACCACAGCTGGCACTGGTGGAGCAGCAAGTTCAGTTCAGTAAGTGCTTTCTGAGGGTCTGATGTGCAATCATCCCAGGTTCTGGCCTTGAGGGCCTCATTGCTCCAGGAGGGCAGACTTGTCTGAAAGGGCATCTCTAGGTCCGGAAGCAAGGGTCCTGGTGGGATTCACACTCACACTTACTCTCTTCCAGGGCCATGTTCTGCAATGACCTGAAGGAAAAGCATGAGAAGAGGATCATTATCAAAGGTGTGGACGCTGAGACCATGCATACTCTCCTGGACTACACGTACACCAGCAAGGCGCTCATCACCAAGCAGAACGTCCAGCGGGTCCTGGAAGCCGCCAACCTCTTCCAGGTGAGTGAACAAACAAGCTTGGTGCCCTCTTCTGAAGTAGGTGAAAACAGTGTGTCCTCAGACACCTTTGTGGGCTGGCTCCCATGCCTGTATCTGAACTTTCTGTCTCTGTGATGGGACTACACTTGGCTCCTGGCTCTAGGACAACGAGTGTAACTTGTAGCAGCCCACACTTCATGTTCACAATCTCTGATTCCTAGCACAACTGGGGAGGTGATTATTCACTCCGGTTTTGGGTGGACAAGTAAGGCCACACAGAAGCTAAGTGACAAGGATGCAATATGAACCCTGGGCTTTCTCGGTCCAGGGTCCACATCACTTGCTGCTACTCCATGCCTTTTCTCCAGCAGTAGTATCTAGGTTCTGGTGTGGCTAACACTTTGTAGTATCTGTGAAAGAATATTGAGAAGTATGGGGTATTACTGAAGATGAGGTAGAGGACTCTCAGGATTAAATTTTAATTAGTTAATTAGTTTTGCAGTACTAAGGTGTGAACTCAGAGCTTTGTGCTTGCTCTACCTCCTGAGTCATGCCCCCAGCCCTTTTATGCTTTAGTTACTTCTTAGACAGGTTCTTTGAGATAGAGTCTTGCTAACTGTTCTTTTTTTTTTTCTTTTGCCTAGGCTAGTCCTCCTATCTCTGCCTCCATAGTAGCTGGGATTATAGACATAGGCCACCAGGTCCAGCTCATTTAAGTTTTATTTTAAAATAACATTTGTTGTTTCCATTCAATAATATCTGCTTCACTCTGGTTATAATAATGGCATTCACTTCATAAAATAATTAGATCCATAGATGATGTCAGTTGAATCCACCAATATAACAAGGGTCCCGTTCAAATTTCCATCTTTGCCTAGGTCTAGGATTACACCATTGAACCTGATTCCATTGGGTTAAGACAGAGGTTGTCTCATTGCTTGGACACTGAGAATGACCTGTCATGTCATTCTCAGGGACCAGGAACAAACATTGGATCATGTGCATGGTTTGGCACTTTGGAGGTGACATCCACTTAAGTCATCAGTGGATTAGCAGTTCAGGGGAGACAGAAAGCCAAAGTCTGGGATGGTAAGGACTTCTGAGGGGTCCCGGGTCTGAGACTGTTGGCAGTGGGTTTAGCTTTGTTGAGGCTGGAGACTGAGCAGAATTTATAAGGTGTGGCAAAGAAGGGAGGGTGGAAAGAAGGTAGAAAATCAACCATAAAATATATCTAATGAATTCCGAGTAACAAGTATCATAATTTCTTTGTGCTCCAGTTTCTTTCTTGGTAAAATAAGGTGATACTAGGGTCTATTACATAAAGTTATAATATTTTTTCAATGTTCATAATGATGTCTGATACATGGTAAATACTGTATGTATGTTTATAATATTATTACCTATTACCTATTATATTTTAGGAGACTAGTGTTCTGTTGGATGCACTGTTTTTAAACTACATGTTTTGTAATCATCTTTCATGTCAGATGCATTTCTGTAATGACAATTACAATAGGTGAATGAAATTCAATAATAAAATAATTCAGTGGGTCAGGCTGTTTTCATCTACTTGACTACTCAAAACAATGCTATCATAAAAATTCTTTTACTTTTCCTTCATTTGGATGAGATAAATGTCCTAACAGGAATAAAATGAAGTAAGGACATGAATAGGTAATGTACAAAAGAAAAAGATCAAATGGTCAACAATTATATTTTTTAAACACCAAACTTTATTAGTAATCCAAAAGGCAAATTAAGTATGGAAAACTTTCTGGAAGTCACTTTGGAAACAGAAAAAAATTGAAGATCTAATTATGGGTTTTCAAAGTAGGTTATAAAATAACTCTGCAGTGGATTGGATTGTGTTCCCCAGAAAGATATGCCCAATGTGACCTTATATGGAAATTGAGTCTTTGCAAATGTAACTAAGTTAAGGATCTCAAGGTGAGATCCAAGGACTTGTGTCCTTTTAAAAGAAAGGAGAGGGAGATTTGACACAGAGACATAGAGAGAAGCCATGTGAAGATCTAGGCAGAGACTAGAGTTGAGCAGTCTCAAACCAAGGAACACAAGGAGTTGCCAACAGCCACCAAGAAGCCAGGAAAGAGGCATGGGGCAGATTCTTCTGCAGAGCCTCTGGAGGGAACCAACTCTGTCTACACCTGGATTTTGGAGCTGTGGTTTCTGGAACATATTGTGAGAAAACCAATTTCTGATTATTTAAGCTGCCAAGTTTGTGTTAGTTTGTGGTGGCAGTCCTAGGACACTAACATGAACTTAAAAAACCAACTATAAAAGGTGGAACTTTGGGAGGTTAGTAGTTGGTCAGCCTGGAGCTGTCATGAATGGAATTAGTGCTCTGATTAAAAAAAAAGCCCCTCCCCCCGAGCTTTCTTTGCCTCTTTCTGTCATGAGGATACAACAAAAAATCAACCCTGTACAACCTGCAAGATGGTCTTCACAGAATCTGACCATGCTGGTACCCTGCTCAGACTTCCAACCTCCAAAACTAAAGAAGTTTAGTAGAAATAAGTTTCTTACTAAATTTTTCAATGGCTATTCATAAGTCACTCAGTCTGTGCTACTTTATTATAGCAGCCTAAATAAAGACCTTGTCTTTGTCTTTCTTGTGTTCTCCATCAAAGTTAGATAATATCTTTAATAGAATACTATAAAAAGAGTACATAGGAATTGGAGTTTTGGAGACTTAAACATCAAAAATATTTTTGTTCTATTGTCTATACTTGATCATCTACACTTGATTGATTGTTTGAGTATAAAATTCAAGGGTGACAATTTTTCTTTTGGCATTTTGAAGACACTGCTCCATATTATTACGTATCACATAATTTATAAGGATGGGCTCCTATTTATCCCATGCTTTTAAATATATTTATTTCACCTATGTCGTATTGTAATCACTTTTTCATGGCAATAGATTCATTTCTGCAGTAGCAGTAAGTTTTAGGTCTTTTTTTCATTCATTGTAACTATAATAGAGTCTTTCAACTTGAAGGCTCATGTCTTTCAATTCTGGAAGTTTTCTTGTATTATTTTATTGCTATCTTTTTTCCTAATCTTTTTTTGCTTAGCAATGTCTTATTTGCTTAGCTATTCTTTTTTTATTAGTAACGGATTTCATGATAACATTTCCACACATGAATATAATATACTTTGATTATATTCACCCCCTCTGTTATATTTTCTTCTTCCCCCTCTTTCTGTCTTGCACATCCCTAATAGTCTCCCTTTTACTTTCATGTCCTTTCTCACCTTAATTCCACACATGAGAGAAAACATGCAATTCTTATCTTTGTGAGAATGGCTTACTCTGCTGAACATGATGACCTCCAGTTCCACCCACTTTCCCACAGCAGTATAATTTCATTCATCTTTAGGGCTGAGTAAGACTCCATTTGTGTCAATATACACATATGTCACAATTTCTTTGTCCATTCATCCACTGGTAGTCACATAGGCTGATTCCATAAACTGGCTATTGTACACAATGCAGTGATAACCATGAATAGGGATGTGCGGGCATCCCTATTGTATGCTGACTTTGATTCTTCTGGGTACATACACAGAGGTGGTACAGCAGGATCATATCGTAGTTCTAGTTTTAATTTTCTGATGCCAATTTCCATAGTAACTGCACAAATTTATATTCCCCTCAACAGTGTCTATGACCCCCATCCTTATGACAATTTTTATTGTTTGTGTTTTGATGATAGGCATTCTGACTGGGGTAAGATGGAATCTCTGTGTTCCTACTCCTTTATCTATTCTCTCTGTTGGAGCTGTTATTAATGAGGTGTTGGACTTCCTGGATTTATTTTTTCTCACTTTCTCTGTTCATATGAACTAACATTCACCCCTTTACCATACAAGGTAATAGTCACAGGACCCAGAGATAATCACATGGACATACCTTTTGGGGATCCACCATTCGACCCATTGCAGAGGATTTCTTCAAATATTCTTCTGATGATTTGATCTTTGGCTGTCCAGTCATGTTTCAGATGGGAGCTTTAATATGCTAGTTGAAGCTCTGTGTACGTGGGTCAGGTGGGGGGCTGATGGGCTACCTGGTGACCTGTCAGTTTTCTTTCTCCTGGGGATTCCTACACACCAGTATCTGTTGGGCTTTTAGTGGCATTGCTCAGTTTCTTCAGATAAGGATCCTCAGTCTCCTGCCCAGGGGTTACCAGCAATCCGTGTAGATTAGGGACTGGTTTGTGGGTGGGAGTGCAAATCTTTTTTAATCCCCCTATTTTCAGTATGATGTCTCATGTGACTTCTTCAGTTTCTGGTGTCCTTGAGTGCAGAACCTCTCTGGTTTGATTTCTCCAGAGAATAAACCCTCTTTTCCAGTGGGGGTGGGAGTAGGAATTGTTGGACTACAGAAGATAGTCTAGGAGAGGACAGGTGACTTGACAAATTCTTTTTGTTTTGAGTCAGGGTCTTTCTTTGTAGCCTAGACTGGCCCCAAACTTGTGACTCTCCTGTTTTAGCCTCTGGAGTATTGGGACTACAGGTATGCAGCACCACACACAGCTGAGGCCTGACAACTTCTTAAACCCACCTATCCTTGTTTTCCTTGCTCCTCAAGACTTTATTCCTGCTCTTATGGGTTCTGAGGGACAAATTTGTTCCCTTTGGGCACTTGATCTGACCTTCTTCCCCTTAGCAAAGTCACTTGCTAGTCTTTGTGCTCTGTGATTTAGGGTTATGATGTTTCCTGGGTTTGTTGAGAATGGTGTTTATGTTTCTTTTTTTTCATTCTCCTTTCAGTTTGGGGTGATAGTAAAGACTGCAATCTTTTGTAATGCATGTTGAAAATATTTTCCATTGGTCATTTGACTCATGGTTTTTAATTATAGATTTTTTTTCATGTATAAAAAAATTTAGTTACATCTATTAATCATTTCCTTGATGTTTTTTGCTTTTGGCATGCACTTTTATAAAGTCCTTCTATTGCTTATTCATATACTTATTCACTTATAACTTCACTTTGC